ATTTATTTGTTTGTTTATTTATTTGTTTGTTTATTTATTTGTTTATTTAATTTGTTTATTCGTTTGCTTATTTATTTATTTGTTTGTTTGTTTATTTATTTGCTTTATTTAAGGAAAAAAACATGACTGCTAACAGACCTGGAATAACAGTTTTCCAAATATGTGTAGTACGGTCGCCACTAGCTGTAGCAATCATGAATTCAGTGGAATCTCTTGTTGACGGTCCGAAAGCAACACCATTAACCGAACCAACATGACCTGTGTACTGCGCCAAACATGAACCTACATCCAGAGACCACAGCAAGCATGTCTGATCTATTAAACAGTTGTAATATATTAATTTGAATGATGAAGAATTAACATGTTTGATAAAGCTAATTTAATATTTTCAACCCTTACTGCTTTTTTAAAATAATACATCATTATTAGTACATTAATTCATTTGTTAGTTAGGAAACTAGAATAAAAATTGATGCAATTACACATTTTTTAATGAAAACAAAAAAAACCTGCAGAGGCGCTTGCCAAAATCGGTTGTGTCCCTCGGCTCGCCGTCACGTGCCAAATACCATCCCGATGTCCCATAAATGAACGAACATATCTGCATCGACGTGAATTATCACTGACAACTTTTAGGCTTTGTACTAAACGTCCCGGTGGTACTCGTAAAGCAGTCTTTAGCTTTTGACGCATTTGGTTGCCTACAATACACGATACTATTATGGACTATAACAACTTCTGAATTAATGTAGCATTCCCGGTAAATGTTAATTTCGTCATTGCAGATAAACGCTAAATTAAAATCTACAAAAGTTTCGGAATTAAACTAACATTATTTATATTATTTTATGTTGTTAAGACTAGCAGTGATCAGCTCATAGATTCCATTTTTTTTTAAATTCATATTCTAGTAACTATTAAAAAAAAGTCCAGACTGACGAACTAAAGATTAAAAATTTAATACTATTCATTTTTGCACTATTCATTTGTAGTTGGCTTGCAACTATCTGCGCAAAAAAGTGTTGCTTTGAATAATTGAGCTGCCTTGGCAGTATTTTCAGTCAGAAAACGCGGTCTCGATTATATGAAAAATGAAAATGCAGATTAAACAATCATCACCATTTCTAAAAATCAGCAATTAACAGAAACGACCTTTCCTGCCAACTTCTTTTCGTGCTGATAATGGATCATTCGGTGAAAAACAAACTTCAGGTGACAGTGTTACCGTTTCACCCAATCGCTCACTTAATTGGTTCAACTTTGCCTGCACTACAAATATTTGCATTACAAACACTTTTTTCACACAGTTCAATTTATTTCTGAACTTATAATTTCTGCATTACTTTTCGGCAGAATCTCATTTTTTAGATGTTAAAAAATCTTTCCTAGCTTAAATCATATAAAGCAGTTAACGAGTTGAAAGCACTAAAAAATAAATTAGATGAAATTTTAGTGAACGAACGATGTGTACCAGATTAAGCAATTTGAATTTACTAATTATCTACAGCGACGGCAACCAGTCTACTTTTAATAGATTTTAACAGAAGAAAATTTTAATAGAAGAAAAAGAAATGTAATGCCATCGTCACAGTAACATTAAAAAGACGCAATTTGCAGAATAACAGGACGGGTTTAATAGCTATCACAATCTAATCTTCATTCACATGTTTTTTAAATCATTCTTTACTAAATCCCAACGGATTGAAAAATTCATATTTTCTGTGAGAGTATTACACTTTTTTAAGACAGACATTTGCGTTGCCCCTATAACATAAATAACATAAATAATGAGTCTAAAATAATGAAATGCTTACACTCGCAATTCTCTTCATATAGAGAGTCCATTTCTTTTTCAACGTACTCGAACAGTTGATATAACCGTGCTCTAAAATATTTAATCTTGTACAAAAAAGGGAAAACATATTTAAAAAATATAAAATCATTTACATTTGATTTGAATTGAAACAGCTACGAAAAGGATATTGAGCCTGCTCAATATACTTCGCATATACGCCGATGAAAACTCATCCTTTCATTTTTCAACTAATTTTCACTGAATATTAAGGAGCATAATTACTTGATATACATAATATTTCATTTTTATTTAACATTTTAAAAAATATCATACGCTGAATTTTGACTACTTTCAAATAACTGTAATTTAACTGAAGTATAAGAGCACTAAATTAGAATTCTAGTTTTAAAAATAAAAATAGCAAAAAATAGCAAAATTATTCCAATTTCAGTTGAAATATGAAATGATTAATTTCGAGCAAATTTCAATCTTCGCTACATGTAAGATAATTATTTTTGAGCTGTTTCAATAATTATTTGCAGAAATTTTAATAAAAAATTGAGTGAAGTTGTGAAACTTTTTTCCTCAACTTAAACAATAAGATAAATAGAAAATAATACTTATGCGGTAACGCTATTTGTTCCATATCGCAGGATTGTTGTTGCTGTTGAGCGCCTGAAGATCCTTGCTGCACATCACCGTCAACCCATACACGAAGCTTCTCGAATCTTCCAGACATATTACTAAACTTACAAACAAAAACCTGGAATTAATGAAATTTTAATGGAAGATCACTAGCTTCTGTTCATTTTTCCCACATTCTCTTCAAATTGTTCTGTTACGATATATGCAAATTGTTCATTGATATTTATTTAGTTTAATTAATTATATGAAGAAAAAATGATATCACATTTTTGGAGTAAATTATAGATCGATAAAGGAGTTGTCGGCAAATATGCTAAACAGGGGAAAAATAGTGGAAAAAACAGCAAAAAAACTAGTTAACATAAAACATGGTGAAATAGTTAACTTAATCAAATAAAATTTGACATTAGAAATGGAAGGAATTTCAAAGATACACATTACTGCAACTGAATTCAAAAACCAGAAGAGTTATGAGAGTATCCATAGAAAACGATAAGATTCCGCGACATGTTGTCTTAATGAATGTCAAATGAAAAAAAAGAATTACCAAACTGCACATAAAACAGAAAACAACCAGACGGCTTTCTTGACAAATATATCGTAAAACATGAATGGGAAACAATGTTTTCATTCAGGTTTCTTCGAATTGCCGCATTATGTGCGTGAAATGTTTGCAAAATTCGGGTATCGACCGAGAGGAAGGCAGGGAACCGGCAGTGCTTGGGCCTAGTTTTACTTTGTTGTTCTATATATGCATATTACATAAAGAGAAAGAGCTGATTTGATTAAGATTTATTAGTGGTGACTTATTTTGTTCATATTTTCACATGAAATTTAAATTTTTGTTGCTCTCACGAATTTTTCAATCACATACATCATATATTACTGTTAGATTATTTTACTATTTCTTCATTATATGGATTAGCATGACATATAAATTTTTTAGAATATGTTACTGAAATCAAATATTGCAATAAAACTAAATCCTATAATTCTAATAATAGCAATTTGTAAAGGTGAAACACATACTTTCCAGGAATCACAAATGGTAAAATACATGTGCTAGTTGTTTTGTGAGAAGGAAAAAGGTTGGATTACGATGAAATGATCCGTACCAAATTATTATCACGCTACAGCACCTTGGCTGTACGTGCTCTGGTGACAGCTAGTGCTGCTGAGCGTTGTCTTACGTCTGGTCATTGTTTTCATAATCATTGTGCTACTGACATACCTACTGTCTCAGTCCATCATCATCAAAATGTGAAAGATGTACATGCTTCATGTTGTGGTTTTCCAAAGCATCTGAAAAATGGACCCTCAACAGTACTCGATCAAGGTGTCTTTGGTGATGATGCATGCTTTGTTGCACATTTCGAAAATACTTATGTAGTTGGTATGTAGTTGTTTGGTTATGTTTTTCATTTTTCTATAACCAGGGAAAATTATATAGAGTGCGTCAAAAATTCATAATTATGAAAGGCATTGAATGGGATTTTGACTTATATGTAACACGAATTTTGATACCAGAAAATTAAAATCTGATCAGTAAAACTAATCATATGGTAAATTGAAGCAGATGGTTTAACAGCTGACAGATAAGTTTCTTAATATAATAAGGCTGTGTTCCGTATATTGTTTTACTATCAGCAAGAAATTATTGAGCTGATATAATCAAAGTATACTGAACTTTTGATATTAGATGTATAGTTTGAGATCTGCAACGAATCAATAATTTAGAGAGGAAAATACAATATTTTTTAAAGGTGTGGCAGACGGTGTAGGTGGTTGGCGCAATTATGGCATCGATCCATCAGAATTTTCAAGTCGTTTAATGAAGCTCTGTCGGAAAATTGTGATGAAAGGTAATAAAATTTTTGTGAATATTTTCTGCATTTTCAGTATAACTTCACGCAATTGGTATTAGCATTGCTGGATTTTGGATACTATCATTTAAGAATAAAACATATAGTTTTCTTAGTCATCTTTTGATTTCAGGTCAATTCAAGCCAACTCGACCGGATAAGTTATTAGCTCGTGCATACGAAGCACTTGCGAGGCCACCACGTCCAACCGGATCATCTACAGCATGTGTACTTATTGTTCATCAAGATACGCTATATTCTGCTAACCTCGGTGATTCTGGTTATCTTGTTATCCGGAATGGCAAAATAGTATATCGAAGTCGCGAACAGACTCACTATTTCAATGCTCCTTATCAACTATCATTACCTCCAATGGATCAAGGTGCATTTTGCCGTATGCTTTATTCATAGTGCGATCAAAATTTATTTCGTTTCGTTTGTTTGTGCAGCTGTGAGCGGTTTTTATAAAATCTAAAACAATATCTTAATTCTTTAAGGGCAATAGAATGTAATCGAATATTGATAGAAGTCTTGATGCGTATGTATATAAATTTTAGTATCAAAATTTGCGATATTTTTCCGATAATTCTGCAGGAAATGGTAGTTTCCTCGGTGATTCTCCGGAGAAAGCTGAATCGGCATCATTGGATTTGATGAGCGGTGATATTATTGTGCTTGCAACCGATGGTTTGTGGGATAATGTGACAGAAGATGAAATTGTTAAGCAGTTATCAGATTTGAAACCAGGAGATGTACAGGTATGTTTAATTTTTAATTTCTTGTTTTCAATAATTACAAAATTCGTGCTTCACAGAGGCAAATAATATCCTGAAGTAGTAAAAGATATAGATATATGTGTCTGCATGGATATATGCGGTAAGACGAATAGAATGAATGAGAAAAAGAATCGATAGGAATGGATAAGAATTCATGTAAAGATTTGTGTTACTGACAGTCTGAAAACATATAAAAAAGTTGCAATGAAAATCTTAAAATGAATTACAACGTTGATTCCTCGTGGTACTTTCTCAGCAGTACTATTAAGCGTCTTCAAATTCAGTCTCTAAGCTTCGGCTCTGAATGTTGCTGTTGTGCAATAAATGTGATTTTAATTTCCTCGTCTTGAATCAATTTTTTTTAGAAAGCTTGCAATAGTCTAGCACTTACTGCAAGAAGATTAGCATTCGATACACAGCATTTGTCTCCGTTTGCAGTAAAAGCATCGCAGCATGGAATCGACGCACCGGGGGGCAAACCGGATGACATAACACTTATTTTGTTATTGATTGTTTGATTTATTAGAGAAATATTGAAATGCTATGATTTTTTATTGTGCTATCTCTTGTATGATATAAGCTCATTGATTTTATTTTTGGGTAGACTGTGCGTAGTAACCATATAAACGTAGTAGTGGATTGATAAGTTGAAAATATCTTCATTTAAGTGAGCACATTCTGTAGTTTTGGTAATTCCGCAGTAGCATCTGTATCATTCTCTCTCGTGACCATTATGATGGTAAACATCAAACCGCTCCAGTTAATTGACTTGCCCTTATTTCAAGGAAATCTGCATTAACACTTTAAATTCTTTCAATTTTCAACTTTTATTTCAAGTTTTTTTGGGAAAATACTTTCTTATGTTAGTTAACTTCTCGTGCTTGCACAAATGTTGATGGTGATGTTTTTCCTTTTGATTTTTTAAAATCTCAAATTCATTATTAGTGCAATGTGTTGTCATATGATTTGCAAGCAGCGTTAGGGACTACATTGTTCTGTTTTAATCTTAAAATTTCTTCACGGCACTTTCCAATAAGAAAAATGATGGAATATCAGGGAGTTATGGTTCCAGTTCTCTACAACTTGTCAGAATAAGCTTGCATTCATTTTAGCCACGCTTAATTCGATCTTACAGCAACAATTTAAAATACAGTTCTCGATTTCAACAAGTAATTCCTTATATTTTGTTGCAACTTTCTGATAAGATCAATTTGCTTTTTAAAATTCTGTTTCAAAGCAGTTCATTGTGGGCCACATATATCAGTAATACGTCCCATTTCTCATGCAGATACATTTTCTTCCGTTTATTTTATGTACAAATGGTACTTTTGGAACTGGAGTTACGTGTATTGTATTAAATGAATTGAATTGTATATGATGGGAAGTAGAATTATATTTATTTTTCTTTTGATTGTAATAGTTAACATAGCACTAGAAAGTGTATCTGTGAGTGGTTAAGAAGTCCCTAAAGTCCGAATTTCGGTTTTAAGTGATTGATATTTGGATTCCACGCAATTTTGAATGATTTGAAAATATTTCCGGTGTGTTGATCATTGTTTCTTTTCTTTTTTTAACTCTCAGTGTTTCATTGTTTATCTACTGTTTTGTGTTTTTTGTATGTCTTATGTTAGTGTGTTTGCAGTCATTCAACTGTGAAGGAGAAATGTTGACAGTTTGTCAAAGAATTATTCTGTCGAGCACTAACATAAGTAAAAATGTTTTCAAAAATAAAATTTAACGTTTTTGTCACTCTACAGCATTTTGTTTTGTCGCACTGTCCTACTGCAATTGTGTTTTATATTATTTTAACGAAAATAATTCGTAAAGGTTTGATTTATGGTTGGTACAAAAGTTATGGAAGGTAGGTGTGGGATTGGGGTAAACAGCTGGATTTTTTTTTCTTTCAAATATGAAGCTGCTGACAAAAATTTTGTACAGTGAATTATGGATATATATATATATATATATAAATGTTGCTGAAAGATGCGGAGAAGTTTTTGATTGCAAATTCATAAAATTCTCGAAATTTCAACTCAGTTGCGGTTCATACCATTTTGTATGTATATCATGCAGCATTACAGGGCCGCTATTTTTCCAACTTATGTCTTAAGGTGGTTTTCCTTTACAGATATGCGTTTACAATTCTGCTTGGCTTCACAGGCTGGAAATATTCTCAGTAGAGTTCCACTCGCAGCAAATTGTTCACAAATTCGTACAAAATACAGTAAGTAAATGGATGAGTTCTTTTAATAAATCGTCCACTTTTTCTGGATAGTATGGTTTAGATTTTTTGGAGAATAAAAGTTACAATACTAACATATTACTAAATGTTTGGAGTTTTATTGCCATTGCTAACCCACTTTCACATTTTAGTGTCCCAGAAATTATAGTTAAAATTACTGAGTTCTCTTTTTCCTTTTTATCACTATGCACGACAATCTCACAAAGAAAAGGAATGTAATGAGAGAATAATTAAAAGTTTTGAATACAACTGAAATATGATGGAACCAATAAACCTAAAAAATATTTATTACTTTATTCTAAGGTTAACGAAATTGCAGAATATGTTGGTGAATCAGCTCAGACTGATGGAACACTGCTGGGAGATTTTCGTAAAGCTATGCACTATATGTTCATGACAGAGCTCGTAAGAGGTATATTCACTTGTAATTCAGATTATTCTTATTAAATTGTAAATCTAAAATTCTATAGAAGACACGATAAAAGATGGAAAATATGACAAGACATTCTTTTTCTGTTCATTTCAAGTCAAGTGATAGGTGCTATGGGGTGCTTTAGAATCACAAAAGAATGAAATAAGCAAGTCTTTCTTGATCTACATTTTAGCGAAATGTTTCGGAATTATAATTTGGTTAAATTGCACTGCCTCATATTTGATGTGTTTGTTATGGTTTTAATAATGAATGTCTATCATTGCATGGTATATTTTCCAGGTATGGGTATAATTGTTGGTCATTATTTCATGGAACCTGCAACAATAAATTATCCGTTCGAAAAAGGTCCACTGAGTTCGCGTTTCCGTGGTGAGCATGCGCTTCGAAGGTACCCGTCCGGTGAAGAACGCTGTATAGCTTGCAAGCTATGTGAAGCGATATGTCCGGCACAAGTATAAGCTGTTTCCTAATTACATAAAATTGAGAGTTGTGTTTTCCTCATCCCTTTTCCTGTTTATAGAAACTTTAATCATCAACAGTGATTTCAGAGCCATTTAAAAAATCGGATTCCATCCGTTTCACTCATAGCAGTAACAGAATATATGAATTCCAGAATTGTTAATTTTAGATCACCCACTGTAGAATTTTAAAGCGTCTCATTTTGCTCTCTAGCTTTAACTCTCTTTCAAATGATATATGCACCTCTTTTCTTCTTTCTATCCCCTAATTATTATTTCAATAACGTTTATAAGTTGTTACCAATTTTGAGTAATTTTTTAAATATCTGTATCGTTTTTGGTCGTTTAAGGCAATAACGATTGAAGCTGAAGCAAGGCCAGATGGAAGTCGACGAACTACGCGTTATGATATCGATATGACAAAATGTATTTACTGTGGCTTATGTCAGGAGGCTTGCCCAGTTGATGCCATTGTTGAGGTTTCTCTTTTTTTTGAATTTAAATTCTGTTTTTTTTTGAATCCAATTTTTTTTTTGAACTAATGCTAAATGCTAGCTTTTTTTCACACATCATATCTAGAAATACATTCTTCCGGTGAGGTTCATTGCGTCTGCATCTGTTTAATATTTTCGTTGACTGTACAGATATTTACATAATTATATATGTTTCTTGGCTGTAATAAAATGTAACAAAAATGCATATAAAAAATTCCCAATGTTCGAAACTGTTTTTCTAGGGTCCGAATTTTGAATATTCAACGGAGACTCATGAGGAGCTGCTGTACAACAAAGAGAAGCTTCTGCTAAATGGTGATCGATGGGAGCCAGAATTGGCAGCAAATTTACAAGCTGAATATCTTTATCGTTAGGTTAAAGAAAGTTTTGGAGACAAGCTGTTTAATATAATGGTTGTCTGACTTCATTAAAAAATTAATTTAAAAATACCAAGATTGATCTATAAATCAATTAGAAAATGAATGTTCTGCAATTTGATTATTTTCAAAACGGTGTTTGTAATTGTTGTGACATAAAGAAAATCATGCCATGCTGCTTGCAATTTTAAGAGTTCATACACGTGAATAGTTGCTTGATAAATTAGCATGAGGACAAAACTTTATCATTTTTTTTGTGTGTTCTAATTCTCTTGATATACATCGTAACGTTATCTAAATACCCTGCTTGTTCATTCTTATTTGTAATTTATGCTTATATCATTTATGCAATTTAAGGGATATTATATTGTATAATTTATGTCTTATATACAATGTAGTATTGATAATGACAAACGTTTTTGTACAAAAATTAGTTTTGACTTTTGCAGCTCAAGATTTGATAGATCAGGTAATGCAGAATGGTTTTTCGATGCTTTACAGCAGAAATTTTTGTTTTAATAAACAGAATGATCCAACAGTTTTTATTGCATACTTTCTTTAAAGTCTATTCAACATGTATTTGTGTCTCTGTGACAAATATACTGCGCAGAGTTCGTTGAACAACTATATAAAGTAACATAATTGCAAATGGTTTAAACTTTCCTTACCACTTAAAATATGCTTCATTTCTCAAATTTGAACGTATGGAAAGACATTAAGGATATTTCATTATCGATATAGCACTCACTAAGAAGTTATCGGTGCGATATTTAAGTGTAATGCGTTGACAGAATTGAACCTTTTTTCATCCTCGGCGATCTTCCGCAAAAGATTGGATTATGTCTGTGCTAGCGCTACTTATAGCCGTTGAGCTTTCATCGCTATAATTGTTTTTTCTGGTTCAGTAAATTGAATTTAGTCCATGACTACTAATGAGATACAGTTAGACTTGATAAGAGATGGGTAGTGGGAGACGTTATCGCTTTTTTACTGTGAATTCTCTAAATGGAATTGTACTGGGAGATTTACCTTCCACAATTGCTATATTCAGCAAACTGATATATTTTGTCAAATTATGCTTGATAGTAAAGGTTGTTGATTTTATGCTTCATCTTTCTACAATATTTAAAGAAATTTTCATCAAGAATGAAACCTTGAAGATAAATTAGGAAATGCACTTTGACTTGTTGAAATGGAATTTGATCGAGCTGTAACCAATTCCTGATATTCATTAACTTCTCTAATCGTAGTTAACACATCCTGATACCATTCGGTCTAAACGATAAGCTATGTTGTGGCTCATAAAATAATTAGTAATATATTTCTCAGATTATGATTCAATCAATGCTAATGATTTTAAAAATCAGTACTATGATTTTTAAAAAAATACAAGATTTATGACATCTCGTATTTTTTTAAAGTGAAGAAATTGATCCAAAATATGAATTTTAAGAATTCTTCACTAACTGGAAGATTTGTTCTCGAGAAATTATGAGTAAAATTATATGGCGGTAACCATAGTGTATGACTAAGAAGTTCATTTCGATGACACATCCATGGTGGTTCAAAAATAATATCATCGAGACGACAAAGATAAACCTGTCAAAGAGATGATTTTTTTTTCCATTATGTAGGATATTAATTTCCGGTACAATATGTTGCTCTCGAATTCAATACTGGTTAAGCTTTACTTACTTTTCAAATTTCTCAATGTGCGACAAATGTTTGTTTTCTCAAGTAGAGTAAATTAAAAGATGTGCTTTTCAAGATAATACAGTAATGATTACCTCATATGGTAATTTTTCAAAATCTCTTGACCATGTTATTTGATCCAATTCACTGGTGCGAAATAACACCAATTCTTTCAATGTTTTTGGCATAGTATTCAAGAAATTAGCAATATTTGATGCGCTGTAATAGTGCACGTAAACGGAGATCTTTTTCAAATTTAATGTTTTTAGAATGGCCATTTTTTGTGGTAAAGTACGATGACAACATGAGAAGAGTGATGGTGGAATATCGAGTACTTTCAATTGAGTTAACATTCCTGAAATAATCATTATCATTCGTATCATCATTAGGCTATTTTTTATCATACTCACTAATAGTAATATTTCAGAATAGCTCATATAATTCAAATCTTGAATCTTCTAGTGATTTTACAGTACGTTTCAAAATTAAATTTATTTGTAATGAATGTGGTGGATAAACTATCTATTTAAATAATAAAATTCAATCAATAACATTTCCATTATTATTTCTAACAATTTATTGCAAATATTTGCCAAAAAATTTTTGTTTTTTTAAAAAAAAAAAGTAAAAGAAGATGATATTGTTTAATGCATTGAAATATTTTAGACTTCTAATTATTACATCTTAAAGAATTTCGAACATGTAGAATTTGTACAGAATTCGTACCAATTGCCGAGATATACCGATCAAAATCAGGTGAATTACATAACACACCGGATATGAGCAATTCAGTGAGAGTTTGTTTCAGTGCATCACATAATTTACTGAATATATCCGGTTTCAATACAATACCGCTAAGTTGTATGGAAGTTAATGGCGCCATAATAATTTGCGTCAATTGACTTTGACGTAATACATTTCGTACTGTTTTCAATTCATCATAACGTTGCAATATGCGTAATTTACGTAGTTTCTTCGTGAATAATGCATCCAAGCATGATAAACTCAATGAGCTATAACTTTTCCATTATTGTTAGTTGTTAGAAGATGCTAGTAAAAATTGTCTGCTAAAAAAATCATTCAAATATTATTCACATCCAAATGTCCTCTTTTTATTCTACGCTTTCTCTTTCTACACAACAAGTCATACGTGTAATATGTCTATTATAAATTATACGTCATTATTATTATCCTGTAAAATCTAGCATTAATATCCATATTTTTCACTATTATTGTTAAAATTTTCAAAGGAACAATCGTCGTTGAGAAAAACTGAACTATTCTTCATAGGAGAGATGTTTATCATATTTTTTCGATATTTTAGATAATTGATTGATAAGATTAATAAGGAGGCTGAAGTTATCATGTAGCTATCAACATTAGAAACATAGTATTAGTTAACTTACTTAAGCACAGAACTTGCTACAGTGAGAACGCTGAGATGTTCAATTTGAGATAACTGTCGTAGATAATTCTCATCTTGTACCGTTTGAATAATGATATTATTCAAATTTGGACAATGTTGAAGGATTAGCTGTAAATTCACAATCTTTTTGATTTTTAATTAATGGGTGTGCCGTATTAGTAGTTCGTTGATTTGTTCACTCTTGAGTCAGAAAAGAGCTATTTCCCTAAAGTACTTACTATGCAAAAAATAATTAAAGTTTTTTTTTTTCGGTATTTTTTGAATATTCATCAAAGTAGTTTGCTAAATGATAATAATTACATGCCTTCAGATCACATTTTGTAGTACATTTAAAAATTTCACCGGCAATACACAAAGTATCTTCTTTGATAGAAAGTATTGTAACATCAAGCCATGTAGAAAACAATGAACCTGTGAGATAGCACTTCTAACAATTTGAAATTAAATTGTTTCTCGGTTATTGTTAGAATGAAAAGATGTAATCCTCGTATTGTTTATTAGAGTATTTTTTAGACAGCAATAGACAAGACAAATTTTTTTTTTGAAAAACTAAGATTAAATCTCTCGTCCTACTAATTCAATGAAACATAAGACTTACTGAGCCTTCTATTAACAGAGGCAATATTAGCCCGTGCTTTAACATCCAAGTAACTGAAGATGACATTCCATACATCATCCGACAGATCCATTTAGCCCAACAATAACTAACATCTATTCCATTTTGTTTTTTTAAAAGTTGTAACACTGGACAATTTGCATATTTGCTTCATCTTTATTTAATATGCAAGTTTTACGCTATTTTATAAAAATTTCCTTGACTATATCAAATCTTCTTTATCATAATCTTAGATTACAAGAGTTATTTGACAAATTTACCAATTTTCATTACCTGACAAGCTCCAAACAGAGCCATAAAATACAAGCATAGTGTATAAATTTAACAAAATCATAAATACTTTGTAGAAATGAGTTCACATAAGATAATAGCAATAAGAATTCTGAATATATACAAATCAATTAAATTGCAAAAAGGAGGTTAGGAAATATCAGAAAAAATCGCTTCACAATGCCTGAATTGTCTCACAATACGGCAAACATAATAATATATAAATGAAGCGTATGGCAAAATCTGAAGCCAAAAATATAAAAATCTTCTTCAAATAAATGAAATTTAATACATTCTTCGAACAGACGCTTAGATGATGGAGTTTGTCTGCTTGTGCAATCAAAAAACAAAAATCCGCTAAATGAAAGGTGCAGTGAAAAGCTAAAAGACATCCGATCCCATGATGAACGGCAATTATTTAGTTCGCATCTGCGAAGATAACGAATAATTATCGTAAAAATATATTATAAGTTATGAGACTAAAAAAAACCTGCGCGCAATCCGATCATAACTTGGTGACAACACACTAAGAGTCTGAACGATTAGGTGCTTTTAATAAGAACAATGATTATGATAAAAAAATTCGCAAAATGATCTGAGCGATTAACTAATTTAACAAAATTCGAACAATAAAAAAAAATTAGCAGGCAAATGGAAGATCAATTTATAAGACAGCACATAAAAGCAAAATAAAAAATTATTAAGACAATTTCAGTAGGCAGTAAGAGCAAAAAAGCTTATCAAGCAAAACGGTTTCCATTTTATGTTCCTGGCAAACAAAGCATATACCTGTTTAATTTTTAAACTAAAAAGGGAACTCTAAAATTCTCTGGAAAGACTGAGCTTCAGAAACAGTTGAATAACTTAACAAGGTAAATGCATAAATTTTTGAAGGTCTATCCGGTCAAGTATTCATAAAGTGGCAAATAACGACGACCATTCACAGTTACCTTCTTTGCGTTTATTTATTTTTCATCGTGTTATTTCCCACATATACAGGATTTTTAAACGTCGTCGTTGCTTGTTTATAAATTGGATTTTCATTCTGAAATTTGTAAACGTTTCAGTTTTATCAGCACAGCTTCCATTTTTTTCATTCTAGATTTTCTATCGTGCCTAGCATTCAAGGATATGTTAAAAATGAAAAAAAAAAAAACTAAAAAAGAATTTCTAATATTCTGAAATGTCCATCCAGCATAATGAGACGAGATAAGCATAGCATAGTGTCAACAATTGGAAAAAACCACAAAAAAGAATTGAAAAAAATCATACAGTATCCCATTTCGCTAATAATCTTTCGCTATCAAACTTTGCAAATTCGGCACGATCATGGAGAACAGTTAATAATTTCCAGACCAAAAGTAGAATCAATCCCAATATGACAATACCAGCTATGACACCAAGAACAATGGCAAGAACTGGTACTGGTGGTGGACAATCTAAATACTTTAAATCAACTCAATGAATTCAGACATAACCAAAATTTCATATAAATAATGCTCGTCACTTATTTATTCGAACACAAAAAGTCATATCAAAAACTACCATGACCTTCAGTTTCAAAATGTTATCTGCCGAATCGAACATCACAAATTCAAGTTTGGATTTAATGAGCATATTATGCCTGGATTAGAAATGATCTCACTAAAATTTAATTTTAAACCATCCAAAAAGAAATAGCATTAAACATAGGGCAACTTTGACAAATTGTAATCAACCGTTAATTTACCTTTCTCCTCCTTTACCCATACCGTAAGATTATCAGTTCTTTGATCCTCGTAATAAAGGAAATAGAATGTACAATCATCTGATGGATCCACAAATTGACATTCAGTTGTGTCATTTAGCACTGAAAATTTTTAATTACAAAAATATTTTTACGGATTGAAACAAAAAAACATTTGAAATATATTCAATGAAAAAAGAAAACTAAGCATTGATAAAATTTTCACAATGTCCAGTTATGATGTATAAGTGTAATGCCTGCTACATCATAACTGGTTTTTTCTGTTAATAATAGATGGACCTTATCGTGATAAAATGATAACCTGGTAATTCTTTAACAGGTATGACAGTAAAAATACACTCATCACATTGAGTTTTATTATATGGACCAGTTTGCCATTGCTGACACATCACACATGGTTTATGCTCAACACATTTGGATGGACAAGTCTGAAAATTATTTTGAAAAGCATAACGGATTTAATAAGAAATCAAAGAAAACAAAAATATATCCTTTCTGATATATAATTTAAAAATACTATACATAGCTTTTTCTAAGTATATAATTTAAATCAAATTATATGCTTTTCCCAAGTATATAATTTGAACCAAGTCTGAAAGTCTTTTCCTACTGTCAGCATTGTTCTCACGTGAGTGATACGACGCAAATTGGATAATAGGTTCATGGATGTCCTGAACCGCTAAGGATCCTAAACGTTAAGCCACTCCATACAATACATCCATTATTCAAGCTATCAATACCATCTTTTACTTATTAGTCACTATGGAGAGATGAAAATTAAATTATCAAAATGAAAAAGAGACATAATTTGTAGTCTAATTATGACAAAATCTTTATTTCCATTAAAACGGCCCAATAAATAAATTTTTTAAACTTACAGGACAAATTTCACATTTGGGACCTGAATAACGATTTCCTGGACCATCACTAAAACATCGACAACGCCCGCAAATGCATTCTCCTTGTCCGTTACATACTTTACCATTCGCAGCCATACAGCTATCCAAGCTTAACGGGCATTCACATGCTCGGCCTGTAACAGTACTAGAGAAATGAATACAAATTATTTACTCAATCAGTCAAACCACAATACCACCAGGCCAAAATTCCCAGTAGAAAACGGTCTGCAGTTTAATTAGTGATGCAAGAGAATTTCAAGGAATAAAATAAAATCACCTGTCCAACCGGGTTTGCATGTGCATTGCCCACAGTCACAAGTACCGTGTCCAGCACAGATTTTACGATCATGTCGTGGACAGTTAAAATTATCACATTCACAAAACTGGCCCGAAATTTTCTCATTCATATTCTGAAATTAATGGTTATTACAAAATGTTAACAATTTTTTCGCAATTCTGAATTTTATGCGTGCAGTTTGATAAGGAATTTGATAATTTTCTGCCTGCCGTTTGATGATTTCCGGTCAAGATGAATAGCAGAAAATTAAGGCGGTGAGGAGGAATAGTCTAACACTCAAAAATGAAGAAAAATAAATCACATTAAAGATAATCCGAAACAGACAATGTTTTACACTCAGTAAATATATGAGCGATGTTCCAGTACATGGTAAAATCCTTATTTTCATTCAAACTTAGAAACAAAGAAGTGAACGTACATCACGCTCGAAACATTCACAAACACCACAGTTGCAAACTCCCCGACCTTCACAAATAGCACTTTCATTTGTCCTGAAAAGATATGTAAGCATTAAGTTTCCAGAAGATCTAAAGGTGATAGAATTACATGATGATACTGCACTCACAGTTTTCGAGTATATAAAGCTTTTCTATATACTTCAAAATTTTAAAAATTTGGGATAAATTCTTATCTTTTACTATTTGCAATACTGTAGGACAGTATTCCGGAAATACACTGACCGTTACCTTTTACACTTCGCATCTAAAGCAACAGTTGAAAGACCAGGTGCATCACATTCGCAATGTCTACCGACATTTGTTCCATGACATATGCAAACACCACAAACCAAATCACCTTTCCCATGACATACTGGAGAATTGTATACAACTCTCTGTAAAATTATTGCATCATTGAGATTAATTCAGTCGCGGAGAACAAGAATGACAGACAGCAACTTGATAAAATTATATTATCTATGTATGATGCACCATAACATGTAATAAATATCGGCCGACGGATCAATCATGTTTTTACAAAAATTGTTCACAAACATCAGCCAAAATTTAGAAACAAGAGAAATTCAAAAATTTTGAAATTAAAAATCCTTACATCAGTCTCACAATCACAGTCACACTGCACATGAACATCAACTTGAAGAGTCTCATCAAGACCGCTTGGTCCGATTTTCAAATTAAAATCACGTTCCTTTACACAATGTGTTGCTTCCAGAGTAACTTCGAACGAAACCTCATCACCAACTTTGATTCCGTCACATACATTTGTTTCTTTAAGAGTATGTCCACTGAAAATAAATTAATCTCAGAACCTTTCTTTGCAATTGTAAAATAAGAAAAATTAATAGCAAGATTAATAAATTGGTCTTGTTCTTATTATGAGATTTTGGAAAAATCTTTTGAACTAAAATTGAAAGGAAATCGAAAGCATTGGAAATTTACTCTAAACATCTCGAACGATAGGATAGTCTTAATCCTTGGCTTGCGTTCGCATTATCAACCATAATAATTTTTTGGGAAATTTTGTTATACTCCTCTTCGATAAGGGAAACAATATTTCTAGAATCATCGGCCAGCACACCAACCGAACTACTCACATCAGGCAACGCATCACTGAGCTTAAATTATAATAAGTGGAGCGAACACTTATCAAAAGTCAACAGTTTCAGAAACTTAAAGCAAAGAAAACAGAAAACTTTCACAACGTAGGGAGGTGAGAACTCACAATAAATACGATATGAAATCATTTGAAGGATGTCTATATGTCATCACATGATTTCATGAATCCGAAAAATAGGAAGCAGAAATCTCTACATAGTCAGTTATAAATTAAACAGTGCAACCACTGATTATTCTTGACTCAATTAAATCACAGATGAATCTTAAGACCTTTTTAATGAATAA